AGGTGCAGGTTGGCACTCGACGTCCCGGAACCAATAGCGAAAACACAATAATTCTGGGAGAAATAGGTCTTTATTAAATATTAAATGGAAATACAGACATCTACCCAACTATTGTTACACCTTCCAATTCACAATTACCACTATAGGGTATCCGATTCCAAAAGAATAAGTGCTACCAGTTCTTACTGCTACGGTATCAAATCCAAATATGGCTGTAGCCATATTAAATATCAAATTTAAACAACATATGTACAGTTCAGAAGCAAACATAAAAACTTCAATATAAGTACAAAATATAGAAATAATAACAATATACAATGATAAAATCTCAAAATGGAATCAAATAGAGTACCAAAATGTCAACAGAAAGAGTCAGTCATATCATAACACAAATATATATATATATATATATATATATATATATATATATATATATGGAGGGATTTTCCAAAAAACAAAACATTCAAAAAAGATTCTACACAGTGCTGCCAGGTTTCTGATTGTGGTCGTTAAACAATTGTCCTTTCATGATTTTAACATGTAAAAACAATATCCTCCATAACTCTGAATGCGAAACCGTGAAATGTGCTCACTCAAGACTAGCTTAGTGAGGAAATTCTCGGAGTTCTAGTGAGAAGACGTGACCAGTGGAGTTCAACCCTGTCGGGTGTAAGCAGCGACTACCAAAGACAAATGGGTGAGGTCGCGCACAATCTCTAGATCAATCAAAGTTAGACAATATTCGGTCCTAAATCAAAAATGGGGAAGGAGCGATGGTCCAAATGAAATGGGAGAAGATATAAAGTACGCAAAAGACAGCTGTTTCTAGGTTTTAGTGGAGACGATGGTACAAGATGGGCTATGTTCGGAGGCGTTACCGCAGGATTAAAAAAATCTAAGAGAAAGAAAAAGGTGTACCAACGAAATAGAATCCTATAACCTATACCCTTATTTGGAGGCTAGTCGCGAAAGCGTTCAGGTAGATATACCTGGCGGGTGGAGCGCGAGACGGTATTCTCGTTCGTACCTCGTGAGCCAACAATCTGATCCAAAGTCAAGCGAGGCATGGCCTGCTGATCTGGACGTGAAACAAGAGCCTCATCCGTGGATGGTGCAGGTGACGCGTTCTGTTTACTGTGATGCGAGAATGAGGTCTCTGTGTCTGGCGTGGGGTTCCGAAGGAGGCAGCGGTCCCCCTAATGGGTTTGATGGGTCTCAAATTATTTCTGGCAGAGCACTGTCATCGACGCGTTCTGGCTCGAGACAATCAATGCTAGCTGCGTAGATTGACCCTTAGTCGTTTTGTGACGACAAATCTTGTGTAAAGATCCCTCATGAGGCTGTTTCTACGTTTCGCGTTCCGAATTCGCTGGCATGCAACTCTTGAGCGACCTGTCGATGCTGTATTGGAGTTGACACCGGAGACAGAGTTCTCGTCCTTGCTGATGGTCGTCGGACGATATCCAATGTACAATAAACAGCTGTTCCGTGGTGTGAAAAATCCCCTCAGTAGACAATTTAAGAGGCGGGACACTGAACATCTGCCGTTAATGCTGAATAGTGTCTCGACAATTGAGTGGTGAGCGTGATCACCACAGGAGTTGGCCTTATTTCAAGGGTGCTAGAGTTCCAGAAATACTGATAATGCTTCACATTGCTAGGTACACACGGTAATTAAGGCCTTGTTCGATAAAGTACCCCGTACCTGTCGATTCTTGGTCTAAAAATTTTTATCGGGCATAACCTAAAACCAGAACATAAAACTCCGTAAACAGATAATTTATGATTGCCGCCTTCATATCTCCATTTGTTTGTTCGACCAGCAGGCAGCTAAACTATGCCCTCGTCGACGAGACAGAGAATCTCCCCTACCCTATCGATGAAGTATAACAAGCGACTGTGTCCATTCGAAATTGACACCGTGAACATAAACTGGAGGATTTTCCTGGAACGATTGTTGTAGGGATGGTTTGTGGCTGTGGATACTCTAGCGTTCCCCGCAATTTCTAGAAGATTCGCCTTAGGTGTTGTGGTACCGGCTTCAGACCAGGTTACATAATTTTCGTGGTCAAGATGGTCTTCTTCGAGGATCACCTATTGTTCCATCCTACATCAGTAGCATTTACATTTTTTCCGAAAACTATCGTGCCTGACTTGTTGTACGTATCCTCAACATACAAGTCGAGGATAGCAAGGAAACGAAACAAGAAGTGATTAGCAACCGGTTGACTATCGCTGGAAAGGCAGTTCGAACAAAACCTAAACCCACTACTCCATAACCATTATGCAACGCGTACGCCGAAAGACACTGCTGTATTAAGCAACTGCGTAACGTAGTACAGCTACAAAACATGCTATGAGAAAAGGAGTTGTCTTATTATTGCAGTCAGGTCTCAGCTGAAAACTATTCATCAAATAAATACGGGATGGAAAACATTTACAAACCATGTATCATATCTACAAGACACAACGTCAATGAAATTCAATATGATTCTCTTAAGGTTTGGGAGAAATCGCATATAAAAATTACAACTATACAGTAAACACTAATCAGCCAACACACCAGATGTGATGCACCAATATTTTGTTGATGATTATCCTTTTTGCACAGCTAACTTATGCAATTATGTTCGTCTATAAACGGGTTAAACCTCGCTGACTTGAAGAGAACCTCAGCGACAGTTATTGAGGGACCGCCCCACCTGCGTCTATCAACATGTTTACGAGTATCTTTTTGTTGGGATTTATTAGCGATTTCGCTCTCATGACTACATTTTTTAATTTCAGGAAAGGTATTTTTGACACAGAAACTGTGAAAAGACCTAGAAATCACTGGGATACCGGTACTAGGTAGGAATAACAGCGTCCAATCAAAATGAAAAAAAAACAATGGACTAAATTTGTGTGTGGTAGGATTTTGTTAGGATACTCACCCAATATCCTAAGAGAATTATTGGTCAAATTTATGGTTGTTTTAACTATCAAAGTCAAATACTTCAATGTTGTCTCTTATTGGTTGTCCTGACTATCAATGTCACTTCAAATGTTACTTCCTATTGGTCGTCTTAACTGTCGATGTCACAGAATTCGATGCTGTTTCCTATTCGACCAAAATGTACAAATACGCATTATCTGTAACAATTTATGACCACTACCACGACCAGGGCTCGGTCCCGAATCCCTAGTCTGGGATCCTGATTCTCTTCTGGACTCGGACCTCGTACTTTTTGGATGTTTGTAGAATACAGGTTCTATTTCATATCACGTCTTCTTATTTTTACTCAATATGGGATTGGGATAATCGGATTAGAGTAGCATGTCGTGTCACCGGATCCTCGCTCTCGTTTTCCGACTAGACAGTAAACTCGTAATAGTTCAAGTATATCAAGTTGACGTGTTTGCGTGCAGGCGTAAAGACAAACAAGTGAATCTTAAACAGAAAGATAAACATGAATTATATATATGTACACAAGACAAACACTTATTATTATTATTATTACTGAAGCATATCCATTAAGCTGTCTGCTTTCGATTTCGCTTCTGCATACTCATCCGATTCAATATTGTACAAAGGATTTCGACATTCATCTAAAATGATTTCTTCTTCACCTACAGGTCCTAAATCAGTAATAAATTGAAATTCATTTATTGTTTGACGAATAAAATCTAATCGACTTGATAATTCTTGCCAACGAATTTCAGGATCACATTTTCTCGCGTCTTCTTGTGGTTGTTTTATGTCTACTTCATCAGTATCCTCTTCTTCAGAATGTCGTTTAAACTTTTGCACTGGATCACAACCGCATAGTTCATCTCGTACAAACACTTCTACATCTAATTGAGGTCGAGTATGTCCTAATTCCACTAGGACAGCAAGAGCAAATTGACTTGGATGAACTGTAAGACAAAGATCTGTTTGATACCATAGATTAATTAAATCTACACCATCTTTACATAATTCATTGACAAGTTGATCATCAGATTGATTTTCTAATAGATATGAATCAGAATGTGCACCACAAATTCGTCTCTAAATAGAGAGAGAGAGAGATGGAGAGATAAAATTGACCAGTGACAATAATGAATTCTGTAACGTGTATGTACATTAAAATAGGTAGTTTACTTATATTTAAAAGCAATCTACTAAGGATATCAGAAAATAGTTTAGCTAAAGATTGTTTTGACATGTTACTTTTCAAAAGATGAACAGAAAACAAATGTGCAATTTTCTTTACTCAATAATTAAACAAAATATACAGTACGAGATTACGAAATAGCATTATTTCAGTTTTTTTGCAATCTACTCTTATACTGGTGAGCACTGCACAACGAAGTAGGCGGTGAATGAGATTATTTGAGACGTAGTTTAAATACTAGCTACCCTATGCACCTAATACTCTATACCTTACTTTAGAACTAGTCATAAATTCTTTTTTCACGATAAGCGAGTAGTACTTTGAAAAAGAGCTATGGTAGAATACATTCAGTTTGCGCATGTTATCTACTACGATGTATACCACGTTTTATAAATAATGTAGAGCGGACTACTGTTTATTACACACGGCATTTTGCTTGAGAGGACACTGTGACGCCTGCACGCAAACACATCATTTTGATATGCTTGAACTATTACGAGTTTACTGTCTAGTCGGAAAGCGAGAGCGAGGATCGAGGATCCGGTGACACGACATGCTAATCTAATCCGATTATCCCAACCCCCATATTGAGAAAAAAATAAGAAGACTTGAATGTGAAGTAGAACCTGTATTCTACACGCATCCAAAAAGTACGAGGTCCGAATCCAGAAGAGAATCAGGATCCCAGACTAGGGATCCGGGACCGAGCCCTGGTTGCGGTCATAAAACGCTACACATAATGCGTATTTATACATTTTGGTCGAATAGGAAACAGCATCGAATTCTGTGACATTGACAGTTAAGACAACCAATAAGAAACAACATTGAAGCACGTGACATTGATATCTAGGACGACCATAAAATTGACCAGTAGGAATTAACCAATAGGAAATAGACCAGTAATTCTCTTAGGATATTGGATGAATATCCTAAGAGACACACTGCACTAACACTAAAATATGTGAATCTGTTCAGAGATTTTGTCAGATACACTAACTAACTTATCAAGGTTGATGAGAATTCAAAAAGAGGTGAAGTAGTAAACGCACTCGACTATATCACACCCTATGATCATCAGTCCTAGTAGTAATGATGTAGATCAGTTCAGATAAGAATTTAGGAGAACACAAAGAATGGATGCATTTGCACCATCGCAAACGATTATGAGCGACCATGTCATTCAAAGTCTCTAACCACCGGTTACTATTGTCTCGCCAACCCCAAACCTGGTAGTCTACACCTACCAACATGGCTCAATCCACTTGTCAGTGACTTCGTAACAACACACGGGATTAAACTAGTCCAGTACTAATTAGGTTTCATTAATTCTTCACATCTTATCAAGTCCAGATGAAAACTACTATAAAACCGTACGAAATCCACCCTAACTATATTATATATATAATGACCTCCATTTGGAACCCTCAAGGCCAAATGAAAAGTGAAGGATCAAAGAACATATTACGCAGAGAAACAGACATAGACATGAGAAGAGTTGAACAACAATTGGACAAGAACTAGAAAGGATGGCCAACGACAGAGTAGGTTGAAAAATGGTGGATGATCAATGACCTATACTCCATTGCGGGGGGTAACAGGTGTAAGTAAGTAAGTAAGTATGTAGTAAGTACACATAAAATGACCAGTAAATGCATACTTACTTGATATGCCACTAGATCAATGACAAATCCAGTCAATGCACGATACGGTGTATAAACCCATAAATCATAACCTAGTGATTCCATTAGAAAAAGTTCTGAATTCAATACAAGATAACTATATCGTTTTTGATTTCTAGGAATATGTGAAATGAAAGTTTGTAAACCAATTGGAAAATCAGCTGCTTTACAAGCAACATACAAACATGTTAACATAATATCACGTGGATAAAAATCCATCACTGAATGATTCAAATAGAAACGTTTAAAATAAGTTGCAGCAAAACCATATACCTAGAAAAAAAATAATAAAAAATTAAGAGAAAATATAGTTAAAAGTGTAGTAACTAATATTCAGCGACAACAGAGTTATATCATTGAAATTATGAACCGGTCAATGTTAGATCACGATTGGAGAGAGTGTTACGCATGCACGTAAACACGTCAACTTGATATAATTGAACGATAACGAGTTTATCATAGTCGGAAACGCGAGAGCGAGGATCCGGGGACACGACATGCAACTCTAATCCGATTATCCCAACCTCCATATTGAGTAAAAATAAGAAGACTTGATATGAAATATAACCTGTATTCTACACGCATCCAAAAAGTACGAGGTCCGAGTCCAGAAGAGAATCAGGATCCCGGACTAGGGATCCGGGACCGGGTCCTGGTCATAAAACGTTACAGATAATGCGTATTTATACATTTTGGTCGAATAGGAAACAGCATCGAAGTCTGTGACATTGACAGTTAAGACGACTAATAGGAAGTAACATTTGAAGTGACATTGATAGTCAGGACAACCAATAAGAAACAACATTGAAGCACGTGACATTGATATCTACTAGGACGATCATAAAACTGACCAGTAGAAATTGACCAATAATTCTCTTAGGGTATTGGATGAATATCTTAACAGAAAGTTGGAAGCACTACTGGATAGCCAAGTATAGGATTCATCAGTAATACACATCGACAACCTCGTAAGCGTAAAATCGATGCCAAGAGACTTTTGGTTCATATAGTGACAACTAAGAAGTTAATGATGACAGAGTTGGTTAGAGAAAACTAGTGTGCGGCCTATGCTCCATTGGGGGTAACAGGCGTAAGTAAGTAAGTAAGTAAGAAGTTCATGAATGTAAACGTTTAAGACACAATTTGTGAAAGTTAGTTTGCGATACTCAACTGTTTAGATAAAATTTAGTAAACGAAGATTCGAATGAGCAACCGAATAATTCAATCATCAGACTATCAATCAAAAACATAGTTGAAAACAAAACTGAGTTGACACTTTCAAAAATTTAGTCAGTCAATATCATTGTAAAGCTTCAATATAGAGTGGAAAGGTGTATATGAAAGAATGCTGGAATCCCGGATCAAAATAAACAAACAGCGAATACATTCAGGATATAAAGTCTTTGAGATAACAAAGATAAAACAAGCTTTAGATTTCAATATGAATTGAGAAAATCGCAAGAATGATTTCAAAAGTTGGAGGATAATCAACTTCCTGTTTTGATGAACACATTGAAAGTAAATAGTGTTTTGCAGCTTCTGAACGTTAATAAAATGAATTCGGCAGTGTGCATTCACAACCTCTGCTCGTGGGAACTGAACCCAGAACTTTCGGTCCCGCGTGCGAATACTTAGACTTGAGACTACTGAACCGGCATCCAACGATGTTAATGTCTAACTGTGATCAATCCATCCAAGTTTCTAATCGTGGTCTAACATTGATCGATTCATGATTTCAATGAAACTCAACGATCTCTACAACTTTATCAGTCAGTCAGTTGCAACGTAGAACTTCGTACGTATGTACATCAGTTCATGTTGCCATACCACATTATCACAGAGACGCAAGTGTCAAATCAAATCCCATAGTGATAAAGATAGTAGACGTATTAATGGTAATGAAGAAGACAAGAGGGTTTGAAGATATTATTCAAGAAGTATAATTCAGTGAGATAAGGTTAGAAAGATAAAGGTAGAGGTGCTGACGAATCCAGGAGATTAGGATCTGAGAGAGCTCAGCGAATGGACGCACTTGCGCCATTGTAAGCGATTTTCAGCCATGTCGTTCAAGGTCTCTAACCATTGGTGACTTTCGTCCCAGGATATACGAGCAATGCTTCTCAAACATCTATGATCGAATACTAGTAACCTACAACCTTATAATGAAAATTGATCTTAGCAAAATATGACAACAGTGAGATGAGTTGAAAAGTTCAACTTTGAGATGTATGTTACATCTCATAACAAAGTTTTGATGACTTCAGGTTACACATTTATTGAACCGATTAAGAATCCGCATGTAATTTTTACTGTAAATTTCACCGGTTAATCAAAAATCAGAAAAAGTTATATCACTGATGATAATGGATTGAGTTACATTACAGTTCATTTTAATGACTAAATGTTAGTCAGTTTTCGCTGGCATATGTTGGTCCTGTGCAGATAGTTTCAATGTGACAATTATTGTGACAAGTTGCTTAAAGCAAATGGATAGTTGAGTCCGAAAATGTAGGTTTCATCTTATTTGAAACATTTGTCAGCTGTTTGGGAAGCTAGATTCCCCGAAAGCTGTTACTTTTCTAATTTATTTAAGGAATTTCGGATTTATTTTCGCCTCAAAAGCACCACTTATTACCCCACCAGTTTGTATTTCCCACTTGGGAGGACGTCAAATAACATTAGTTAGTTTTCCAATTTTTCCAGTGGAGGAAGAAATCAGGAAAAAGCGGTGGAGTTGGTGGATAGGACACACACTACGAAAAGCACCCAACTGCGTCACAAAACAAGCCCTCATTTAGAACCCTCAAGGTCAAGGGAAAAGAGGAAGGCCAAGGAACACATTACGCCGAGAAATGGAGACAGACATGAGAAGAATGAACAAAAATTGGACAGAACTAGAAAGGAAAGCCCAGAACAGAGTAGGTTGGAGAATACTGGTCGGCGGCCTATGCTCCATTGGGGGGTAACAGGCGGAAGTAAGTTTTCTCCTTTGTAACTTTGTCAAGGAAGTTTTTTGTATAGTATAAATTACGCTTGAGTTGAATGTTTGTAAATTCGTTTCTTCGAGGCTGCTTGTAGATTGTACAAAAGCATAGTGCTGGAGCGGACCAGTTCTGATCATCTTTAGCGTTTGAACAATTAATATTGGACCTCAACTAGTAAAGTAGATAAGGATAAGTAGTAGCTAAAAATGACTAACGCACATCTCAATTACTTCAGTGAATAAAAAACCAACAACCATATTTAACAAACTTAATAAATTTGTTAACTTTACAATGGTTAAGACAGATATGAATAAGTTTACGTATATATTGCTACTGTACCTATACACAATTTTCATTCCCTAACACTGAAATACCAAAATTCAATGAAAAAACTAAAAAAATTGATGCCTTTTAAAACAGTCAGTCAGTCAGCGACAACAGTGAACTGCGTAAGTACATACATTAATTCAAGTTGCCATGTCATACCACATTAGCACACAGAGATCGAATTCTCAATTCAAATCACTTAGTTATAGAGGTAGTAGAAATATTAGCTGTAATGAAGAAGACTAGAGATCGAAGATATCATTCGAGAAGTATATTCCCCAGAGGAATCAATTTAAAAAAGTGAGAAAAATGATTATGAGGAATCTAGAAGATTAAAACTTGAGGGAAGACAAAGAATAGATGTACCTGAGCCATTGGAAGTGGTTTTGAGCCATGTCATTCAAAGTCTCTAACCACTGATTAATATGATCTCGTGGATCCCAACCAGACAGACAGAGAGACAGATACAATGCAGAACTTCGTACGTAAGTACATCAGTTCAGGTTGCAAAACCACATCAGCACAGAGACTCAACTGTCAGTTCTAATTCAACAGTGATAGCGATAGTAGAATTATTAGCAGTAATGCAGAAGATCAGCGAGCGAAGATATGATTCGAGAAGTATAATTCAGTGAGATAAATTTAGAAGGAGAAAGATAGAGATGATGAGGAATTCAGGTTAGACTTTGAGAAAACACAAATAGTGGATGCACTTGCGCCATTGAAAACGATTCTGAGCCAAGTCGTTCAAGGTCTCAAACCATTGGTGACTTGCATCTCGCTGACCCCAACCACGTAGTCTACATCTACCAACATGACTCAGTACACTTGTCACTGACTTCATGGATTTCTTCCATGTTTTGATTTGGCCGCCCCTAGCTTTCTTCCAACCTAATCCTACACCACAAAACATAGCTCGTCGAGGCAGTCGTACACATGTCCCGACCACCTAAACTGAAGTTTCAATACTTTATCTATTGATCTGCCATCCTTACCTAGTACTCGTTTCCTAACGACAGCATTGCTTACACGGTTGTCCCAGGATACACGAACAATGCTTCGGAGACACCGATGAAGGATCCCAACCAGGTTGTCTACACCTACTAACATGGCTTAGTCCAGTTGTCATTGACTTCATGGATTTGTGCCATGTTTTAGTCTGGTCTCTCCTAACTTTCTTCCAACCTACCGGCTACATCACAAAAGAATCGCTCGTCGACGAAGTCAATAGTTGGGCACACGTGACACATATCTCAACTACTCTTTTCAAATAAATAATTTTGACAAACACTATACACACACACAAAATTTAAAAAAACGACAGAACTTACTTCATCCGGTAATTGAGGTGTAGTGAATTTATCAAACAAAATTTTCATTAAATAAATATAATGTTTTACAATTTTAAATTCTTGATCTGGATCCAACCCGATCATTGAGGAATTAGTATCATTGTTATTATGATTGTTATTATTTGTCATTTCTGCATCTTTCATTAATTGTAATCGTTTCAATGCATTTGTATTACAATCCGATCGAAGTGTAATTAATTCCGATGGTGAAAAATGCCAATTACAAAATTGTGTACTAGTAACATAAGCCTAATCAATAAAATAAAGTAATAATCAGAAGAAAAGAAAAAAGAATTTAATTAATTTCGGTTGTTTAAAGAGATAAACGAGAACAAGGATTAAGTTACGGAGTCAGTTAGTCAGTCAGTTAGCTACACATAGTAGAAATTCATAGCTATCTAAGTACATCATCGTTCAGTTGGTGGAGAGAATTTGGAGCACAGGAAAAGAAACACCACCACACGCACAGTTCAAGTTGCCAATGTTGCTTCAGGATTGAGTTGCATCGGCACCTGAACTAGTGATAGGGAGTGAAGTAGTCGAACGTGTAGACCGCTGCACGTATCTGGGAAGTCTCATCAGTGCTGATAGCCTGATGACTGACGAAATCTCAGCTCGGATACAGAAGGCTCGATTGGCTTTTGCCAACCTGCGTCACTTATGGCGTAGGCGAGATATCCATTCGCTAACCAAACGACGGGTGTACTGTGCAGCAGTTCGCTCCATCCTACCATACGGATGCGAAACATGGCCGTTAAGAGTAGATGTTCGTAGGTTACTAGTATTCGATCATAGGTGGATCCGAAGCATTGCTCGTGTATCATGGGACAACCGTTTAAGCAATGCTGTCGTTAGGAAACGATTTCTAGGTAGGGATGGAAAATCAATAGATGAAGCATTGAAACTTCATCAGTTGAGGTGGTTGAGACATGTTTTACGAATGCCCGAACTCCGACTGCCTCGTCGAGCTATGTTTTGCAGTGTAGGAGTAGATTGGTTATCGACTGGGTTATGAAAACGTCAACATCTGGAGGGAAGCACGGTATCAGCTGGACAGTTAGGACGCAGCTGAACGATCTGGACTTCGCAGATGACTTGGCTCTTCTATCGCACACGCAACAACAAATGCAAGAGAAGACGACCAGTGTAGCAGCAGTAGGTCTCAACATACATAAAGGAAAAAGCAAAATTCTCCGATGCACCACAACATGCAACAACCAAAGCACTCTTGATGGAGATGCGTTGGAGGACTTTAACACCTTTACATATCTGGGCAGCATCATCGACAATCAAGTTGGATCCGATGCAGATGTGGGGGCGCAGATTGGCAAAGCAAGGGCTGCATTTCTATCTGGAACTCCAAACAACTTTCAAACAAAAACAAAATCAGCATTTTCAATACAAATGTCAAGACAGTTCTACTGTATGGAGCGGAAATGTGGAGAAGAACTACCAAAGCCATCATCCAGAAGATACAAGTGTTTATTAACAGTTATCTACGCAAAATACTTTGTATTCGTTGGTCAGAGACCATCAGCAACAACGTACTGTGGGAGAGAATAAATTAGATTCCAATGGAGGAGGAAATCAGGAAGAAGCGGTGAAAGTGGATAGGACACACATTGAGGAATGAACCTAACTGCGTCACGAGACAAGCCCTCACATGGAACCCTCAAGGCAAAAGCAAAAGAGGAAGGCCAAGGAACACATCAGGCCGAGAAATAGAGAAAGATATGAGAGGAATGAAGAAACATTGGACAGAACTGGAGAGGTAAGCCCAGGACAGAGTTGGTTGGAGAAAACTGGTGGGCGGCCTATTCTCCATTGGGGGTTACAGGCGTAAGTAAGTAAGTAAATAAGTAGATTGGAATAAAGCTAGGGGCGGCCAGACCAAAACATGGCACAAATCCATGAAGTCACTGAAAAGTGGACTGAGTCATGTTGGTAGATGTAGACTACCTGGTTGGGGTCAGCGAGATGCAAGTCACCGATGGTTGGAGACCTTGAACAACATGGCTCAGAATCATTTGCAATGGCGCAGGTACATCCACTATTTGTGTTCTCTCAAATCCTAATCTTCTGAATTCCTCATCATCTCTATCTTTCTCTTAACAAATTTATCTCACTGTATTATACTTCTCGAATCATATCTTCGCTCCCTAATCTTCTGCATTACTGCTAATATTTCTACTATCGCTATTACACTTGGATTTGAACTGACAGTTGCGTCTCTGTGGTGATGTGGTATTGCAACCTGAACTGATGTACTTACGTACAAAGTTCTGCGTTGTATCTGTCTGTCAAGTTGCCATACCATATCTAGTACAACAAAGAGATGGAATTGTCCCTTCAAATCTCTTAGTGCAAGATGTTGAAGCAGTAACAGTATTCGACGAAATTATTCAAGAAGTATAATGCAGTGAAATAAATCTAAGTAGAGAAACATAAAGCTGATGAGGAATTCAAAAGATTAGAATTTGAGGCAATACAATGAATGGATGCATCTACGCCATGTCATTCAAAGTCTCTAATCATCGGTTACTACTGACGTCAAATAGTCAGTCAGTAACAACGTAGACCTTCGTATGTACGTACTATAGTTCAAGTCACCAAACCAGAGAGATCGACTTGTCAATTCAAATCCTATATTAGTAGTAGTAGAAGTATTAGCCATAATGAAGAAGATTAGGGTTTGCTACTTACTGTGTTATAAGTATTAAAATATTTAAGTAAAAAATTGTTCACTGAATCAAATAAAGTTACTTATGACAGTCAGCTCCAACATGTAGTTTAGAATGAGGTTTCAAGAGACCAGAAATAACGTTTCGTGAATTCCAATTGATTGAATTATAGGAGCGAGGTGATACAAGATTGTGAGAAGGGTTAGTTGTGGAGATTAGAGAGATGTTAGGGTGAATATGAAAGATTTGATTGTGACCGATTCAGTCTGATGTGCTGTTACGGGTATGAGGTCGGATGTCGCTTCCCGGCTGCCCATACCATGGAAGAGTGATTATTAAGGGACCTAAAAAAGAAAGCGGATTAATGTTGGTCTTAGAGACCTAAGAGCGTGATCGCACATCCCAAAGAACAACCGATTGAGGCCAATCACGCACGGCCTTTTTATTGGAAGCTTGTAAAGCGTTAGCTCCGCTATTCAAATGGCCGTACCGCTGACTGTAGAAGGGTGTGACAGCAGTAAAGTGTTTCCCTCGGACAACCAGCATCCGCAGCGATGCTGTCTTCTCACAAGGAAGGAAGGGTTAGAAAAGGTCGACACTAAAAATGTCACACCTCACCTTACCTCACGGATTTCCGTCTCCGGCGGTAAGGGCTTTTAAACAAGAGCTGAGCTAAGACTTTAAATACTTCCAATAAAAAGGCCGTGCGTGATTGGCCTCATGCAGTTGTCCCTTGGGCTCTGCGGTCAAGCTCCCAGGTCTCCAAAACCAACACTAATCTACCTTCCTTTTCAAGTTCCTCAAGAAACACCCTTCCACGTTGTGTGCAGTTGGGAAGTGACATCAGCCCTCTTACCCACAACGGCACACGAGATCGAATCGGTCACAATAAAATCCTTCCTACATCTAATAACTCTCTTATCATCACGATCAACCCTTCTTTCACTTTCCTGTCACCTCGCGCCGCTGATGCAAACGTTTCAAGTTCAAAAACGTTATTCCTGGTCTCCTCCTGAAACCCCGTTTTAAATTACATGCTGGAGACTTTAATGTCCGGAAACTGTGTCAAATAGGACAGCAGGCTTCTTTAGAATTTCGCGCCATCGACGTATGTTGTGTCTCTGAAACACGCATACACGACCTGAGCAAAATCAATAATTTGATTTCACCTTGTCCTGTTAAATAAACAACTCAGTTCACGCTTCGTGTATCTGAGAGCCCTGCTGCTGTTTCCCATGGCCTCGCTGGTGTAGATGTTCTCTTAGACTGGATCCCTGTATAGTCGCTTATGCGTTGTTCGACTAAGTGGAGCAGCAAGGATTTGTAAAGATAGGGAAACTCGCCGTTGCCTCTCCCTACGCTCCCATGGACTACAGCTCAGACGAGATAAAAGATAAGTTTTACAGAAACCTTCTTCAAAAAGTTAAGTGCTTCGATATCGAAATAACGGCTGGTGACTTTAGTGCTCAAGTAGGTAGACTAAGCGAAAAAGAAAGACCTGGGTGGATCTTACGGTGTCGTGGCTCAAAGATCAGATAATGGCGACCATCTACTGTAATTTGGGATGACATTCAAAAAAACTGTAAAAACAGTAGTGATATCTGCTAGTAACGTAAACCGAAAGGTTTGGGAAAAGCGGTGGATTTTAGTAGCATCTACCAAACTGATAGGTGCTCGGAAACTAATCCTGTCTGGATCTGAACATGACGAAGAGCGGAGTAAGCTCAAGCGCAGACTCATAAAAAGCTTACGCAATGATCATGAAAAGTGGTTGATAGCGAAAGCAAGAGAAATGGAAAAGACAGCGGCGATAGGTAACAGTAGACAACTGTTCAGCCTCATCAAGGAAACCGGAATTAGAAATGCATCTGTTAGCGACACTTTCACACAGAAGGATAGGCTTATTATTCATTCTCGAACCAGGAGATTAGATCGATAGGCAGAACACTGTAGGGATCAGTTCAATCGGTCTTCAGCCACACTTCGGTTATTCACGATCATCAGTCATCCTGAATGGCGAATCGATGTAAGCCGTCCAACTTTTAAAGAAGTTGAAAAAGCTACAGGAAAGCTACAGTCGAGGGAGAGCAACGGGCCTGATATTTTTAAGGACGGTGGTTAAGTTTTAGCAGTTAGATTGAATGAGGTATCAGGTAGGATTTGGGAACTGGACGTAATCCCATCTGACTGGCCTCAACCACTGATTGTCCCAATCTATAAGAAAGAACAAAAGTCCTCTTGTGACAACCACAGAGGAATCAGTTTAACTAATATAGTGTCTAAATTGTTTGCCTCGATAATACTTCGATGCCTAACTAGAGCTGGTGAAGAGCCGACTCGAGAAAAGCCAGGCTGGTTTCAGATCTGCAAATGACTGGATAGACCAGATATTTACACTTCGGCAGGTCCTGGGACATATATACACATTTCGACGCCCCACTATAGTTGTATTCCTTGACCTTGGAGCGGTATTCGACTATGTCGATCGTGAGGTTCTATGGTAGTATCTATCAATAAAAAGTGTACGAAAGAAGTATATTGACCTTATACAAGCTCTCTACTCGAACACTACAGGTTGAGTTATAGCTTATGGCGAACTGTCATCGGAATTGATTACTTCAAGTGGGATGTTCACCTTCTCCATTTTCGTTTAATTTTGTCATACACCTGCTTCTAGATATAACATTATCTTCGTCCGAATTCTTAGAAGTAGACCTTCTACAAGGAGACTCGCTTATTGACTTAGAATATGCCGATGCCGTAGCTCTATTTGGTGAAGATGCTGACAAAAAGCAATCTTCTGACCACCATCCATGAAATCACTGACAAGTGGACTGAGCCATGTTAGCAGATGTAGACTATCTGGTTAGGGTCCACGAGGTGATAGTAATCGACGGTTAATCTTTGAATGTCATGGCTCGAAATCGTTTGCAATGGTGCACGTGCACCTATTCTCTATGTCTTCTGAATTCCTCATCATTTTTATCTGTCTCCTCTTAAATTTATGTCACTGAACTGTACTAGTCAAATCATATCTTCCAACCCCAATCTTCTTCATAACCACTAATACCTCTACTACTTTAGGATTTGAATTGACAATCGCATCTCTGTGTACTAATGTGGCGGTATGTCAACTTAAACTGATGTAGTACGTACATACGAAGTTCTACATCGTAACTGACTGATTGACTGAAGTCAGTTAGTGGTCAGTTACATGGAACATACACGTTCCAATCATTTCAGTAGATGAGGGGGGGTTTACAACCTTATTATCGGATTTACCACTATTATTATCGAGTAGTACCCTTCATTTAAACTAGTTCAATATCAAGTAGTTAAATGTTTTGATCATATTCTGAACAAACTCGATCTCCAAGTTTCAAGAAAAATATCAAGCATATTCAACACAACTATTTTCAAATGATAAACAGACAATATTAAGAAGAAGAAGACACATGTGCATTTCATAGTTCAACTTTATTTCAACACTCCTTGTAGTGTGTTATTTTTTTTCCTTTACAAATACAAAATACAAAATAAAACAAGTTACGCATCAGTATGAAACTGTACGGATTATCTATCGGTGCACACACACACACACAGACAATGAACATACACATACACACACATGTACATGTATATGTTATCATCGATTACAGTGTAGACTGATCCTCTTCCATTGGCACAGGGCCAGAGTCGGGGACAGTGCCGGAAGTTGGTGGTAGTAGTACATCAGACGATTGAGTAGCTTCGAATAATTGTAGGTACGGTTCAATATTATCATCTTCAAATATAGTGAAATTCATGTCTTTTCCAACTATAGCAAGTGAACAATTCTAGAATGAAAAAAATGAAACAATTTATTTAAACTAGTTAGATTTTGAATAATGGAATTACATATTTCAATTAGGTTTTAATGGCCAAAAAACAAAACATGGCAGAAATCCATGAAGTCATTGACAAGTGGACTGAGTCATGTCGGTAATTGTCGACTACTTGGTTAGGGTCTGCGAGATGATAATAATCGATGGTTAGAGACCCTAAATGACATGGCTCAAAACCGTTTGCAATGGCGCCGGTGCATTTATTCGCTGTGTTCTCTCTCAAATCCTAATCTTCTGCATTTTTCAACACCTCTAGTTTTGTCTTTCCTAACTTATCTCACTGAATCACATACTTCTTGAATAATATCTTCTAATCTTAACCTCTTCGATTACTTCTAAAACACTTACTACCTCTTCTACTATTGGATTTGAATTGACAATTACATCTCTGTGTGTGCTGATAAGTTATGGGAACATGAACTGATGTACTTACGTACGAAGTTCTACGTTGCTGTATCTGACTGACTGACTGATCAGGTTTTAATTAATCGCAATAGGATAAAATGTTCAATATTTTATGAGATATGAGGGGGTTGAGTGCGTTTAGCTTTATGTAGTACTATTATTATTTGACATTGAAAGTTTCCAAATGTAGTTCAAGAATATCCTATGTACTTATATATAAACGCTTGCTCTGGTTTCACAACTCTTCTATAAATGAAGACCATTCACCTCTCAAATCAAAGTTTAAATGATTTGAATTATTTAGTTTTTCTCATTAGCGTTTTCTAGCAAGTTGATTTTCCATGGGATTCTGATATAATCACATAGAAGAGTTAAAATATCACAGAGAATGTTTACATTTTGTCAACTGAATTTTCTAGTCATTAGAAAACTATTCTTACACATTTGAAATTATGAGTGAATCATTGTTAAATGACCACCATTAGGAACCTGAAAGCACTGAACGACCGTTTAGTCCTGACATAAGACTCATCGTCAGCTGTTGGATACCCAATCAGCAGTCCAGAGGTTAAGCGTTCGAGCGCAAAACCGAGGGTCCTGAGTTCGAATCCTACGAGTAGCAGGAGTCATGGATGCGCACTGCTAATGAGTCCCAATACCAGGACTAAACGACCGTTTACGCCACTGATATCATATGATCCATTTAGATCTCGTTCTGCACAGTGACGGTAGAAGCGACTGAATAATCATATATGGTTAGTTGGTTGAGACTCCATATGCATTAGTGATTCCAGAAATACAAAATAGGCAGTGACAAACAAGATAAATCGTGCTGTTACGGGTATGAGGGCGGTTGTCGATTCCCGGCTGCCCACACAGTGGAAGGATGTTTCTTGAGGGACCTGAAAAGGAAGATGGATTAGTGTTGGTCTTGGAGACCTGGGAGCGTGACCGCAGAGTCCAAGGGACAACTGCTTGAGGCCGGTCACGCACGGCCTTTTTATGAAACGTTTTTTGAGGATTAGCTCCGTTATTATTAAAGCCCTTAGTAAGCACCCTTACCGCCGGAGACGGAAATCCGTGAGGTAGGGGAGGTGTGACATTTTTAGGGCCGACCTTTTCTAACCCTTCCTTCCTTGTGAGAAGGCAGCATCACTGCAGATGCTGGTTGTCCGAGGGAAACACCTTACTGCTGTCACAACCCTCTGCAGTCAGCAGTACGACTTCTTCTTCTGGAGTTGCTAGAGCTATGAGAAAAAAGAGTGGTGATATGTGGTATCGAAGTTCGTAAGCACCTATCGCTGCTATTCTGTTAACATAAGTACCAAACAAATGAACAAGACGATACAATGAAGCTGAGCAATAAATTTTATAAGGAGCTATTATTTACTGTTTATTTTCTCTTTCTAAAGTTACCTCACTGAACTACACTTCTTGAATAATATCTTTGATTCCTAATATTCTCCATTACCAGTAATTCTCCTACTATCTCCACCACTATGGGATTTGAACTGACATTTGCGTCTCTGTGCTCTGATGCGGCATGGCAACCTGAACTGACATACGTAGGTACGAAGTTCTACATTGTAATTGACTGACTGATTTATTTTCCGATGTATTTTGAGAAGACTTCCAGAGGACATTTTCTTCTAATAACACAAGTTTAGGGGTTGACTTACAAATCATCTCATTCCCATGTAATAATTGTAAAAAACATTAAGTTGTCACTAATAACAAAGAGAACTGATGTGTTCACTTTTTTTTAGCTTATACGGCAAAGTGATACAATATGTTTAAGAAACAATAGGCTTTTATCAGTCAGCCAGCCAGTTAAAACGTAGAACTCCGTACATCAGTTCAGGTCGCCATACAACAACAGCACACAGAGACGCAATTGTCAGTTCAAATCCCATAGTGATAGAGACAGTAGAAGTATTAGCACTGATGGAGAAGATTAGGGTTCGAAGGTATTATTCAAGAAGTATAATTCAGTAAAATAGATTTGATAAAAAAAATGAAGGCGGTGAGTAATTCAGAAGACTAAAATTTGAGAGAACATAAATAGTGAGTGCACCTGCGCAATTGTAAACGATTTTGAGCCAAGGTCTCTAACCATTGGTGACTTTCGTCTTGCGGACCCCAACCAGGTAGCCTACATCTAGCAACATGACTCAGTCCCCTTATCACTGACTTCATGGATTTCTATCATGTTTTGGTCTGGCCGCCCCTAGCTTTCTTCCAACCCACTCCTACACCACAAACATAAGCCTTCATAGATAGTCATACACTGAAAACCTGGTTAAAGTAGTGGATGAGTGTTGACCGAGAATGCTTTTTACTTCTATTTGAAAGTAGATAACAAAATGACGGAAAACCTTGAGTGAAACTTCATCAATTGAGGTGGTTGGGACATGTGTTACGTATGCCTAACCACCGATTGCCGCGACGAGCTATGTTTCGCAGTGTAGGAGATTTGAAGAAAGCTAGGGGTGACCAAACCAAAACATGGCACAAATCCATGAAGTCACTGACAAGTGGACTGAGTTATGTTGGTAGATGTAAGCTATCTGGTTGGGGTCCGCGAGACGAAAGTCACCAATGGTTAGAGACCCTGAATGACATGGCTCAAAACCGTTTGCGATGGTGCAGGTGCATCCACTCTTTGTGTTCTCTCTAATTCTAACCTTCCGAATGCCTCACAATCGCTATCTTTATTCTCCTAAATTTATCTCAGTGAATTATACTTTTCGAATCATTTCTTCACTCCCTAATCTTCTCCATTACTGCTAATAATTCCACTATCGCTATCACTGTTGGATTTGAACTGACAGTTGCGTTTGTGTGCTGATATGGTATGGCAACCTGAACTGATGTACTTATGTACGAAGTTCTGCGTTGTATCTGTCTGTCTGTCTTGAGTGAAACAGTTCATAAAGAGGCCTCAATGGCATACTGGGATTTCACTATAAACCACTTTTTTGAACATTACTGTCAACCTGAAAACATCCGCAAAAATAGTATCTAGCAGTAGACTTTTATAAGATTCCGAACTCATAAATCATCTGTCTAGACCGAACAGTTAAGTGTACCATATATCACTTTTTAAATGACCAACAGACTATTAGAGTTGATAATAAACGCTATACAAAATTTTAGTGACCTAGTTTAGAGTATACATATATCCAAGTTTTAACTTTATAAATATAATAAACAGACAATCATTTACCAGGTACTTGGGTATGTAAGTAAGTAGTAAGTAGGTTGAACAGGTTAAGATGTTATCAAAAAGAACATATTCACAAACCCAATTTTAATGAAAATAAACTCACTTTTGTATTCAAACTAACTTCATTTGGTAATGTACTGTTTAGAGCTTTTAATCCATGACAAATTAACTCGTCCAAAGATGAACCTTTAAATTTATCTAAATGACGTTCCAAGTAAGTACGAGCTGATTGAGAACGAGAACCAATAGCTGTGCACTTACAATCATATGCATTTGAAGATGGACACTTAAGAGAAAAAAGTTGGAAATCTAACTCTATGAGGAAATATCAAATGTATGAATCTTACATGAACGAAAAAGTAAACTCATCCATTTTTATGTAAGTGTATGAAGTGAAGAATAGACTGAACAGTCAGTCAGATGCAAAGTAGAACTTCGTACGTAAGTACATCAGTTCATGTTGCCATACCACATCAGCACAGAGGTATAATTGTCAATTCAAATCCAATAGTAGAAGAGGTAGAAGGGTATTAGAAGTAATCGGAGAGGTTAGAATTAGAAGATATTATTCAAGAAGTATGATTCAGTGAGAAAAGTTTAGAGAGTCAAAACTAGAGGGGGTTGAAGAATCAAGAAGATCAGCGTTTGAGAGAACACAAAGAATAAATGCACCTGCGCCATTGCGAACGATTTCGAGCCATGTCATTCAAGGTCTCTAACCATCGATTATTATCATCTCGCGGACCCCAACCAGGTAGTCGACTGAACAGAAACTTAACTGTCCGCTATTTTGAAAGAACACTGGTACACTTGAAAATAGACAATGTATCATTTAATTTTAATTCTGATGGGGTCCTAGTACAACGCCAATATCAGTCAGCCGAACTCCATGTGCATGATAAAACCTATTGCATTCATAAGAGATAAGATGGACTGAGAGTTCAGGTCTAGAATCTTCAATAAAATCAGTCAGATGAAAAAGACTTAGAACCGTTATGTGTTGGTGAAAGCCCAAATTTCCAAACATGATGTTACTACAGCAAGGAATTAACAAGAAAAATATAAAGATCTGCGATATGGGGAACGATAGTTAACCTGATTTTTAGGTGACACGGGAATCAACGAACTGTAATTGCCTTATATCAAAGAATACATCAGTAAAATTAAGACCAGGAGGACGTTAGTTGTTTGGCGAGATGGAGACCCAAGTTGGTAACATTCCCAGTTTTAGTAAGAAACATGGCAGGAAGAAAATTGACTTGAGGACGTAACTTCATTGAACATTACTTAAAATAAGTTACAATAACGTTTGTTAGTGAACAATCTCTGAGGTTTACTTATGAAAAATACGGACATCCTAACGGAAACCAGTGTCCATATTATGCATAATTAAAAGGACACCTACAAATTTAGATGCCTGTAAACCTAAGAAAATTTAGAGAAATCATTCGTGTCAAATGTCTCAGTTCTTGATAAAACACGGTATAAAAAAAAATCAAAAATGTATATATTAACCGGAGTATATTTAATATATTATAAAACCTGTAGGGGATGCACATTCTCGCCAGTATTTACTTGTGAATGCCTAATGATGAATGTATTTTAGGATGGCGAAAACTTATATAAGAAGTGAATACTACGTTACAGGCATGCGTAAATAGTACAACTTACCAAGTAGTAAACATGTGGTCCCAATGCATCAAAACCAGTGACTAGCATACCAACTCCGAAAGGTCGTCGACCGTATCTCTGAGTAGGTACTTGCATCTTAAGAGCTATCTTAGAAAGAAGACGTGAAATCGGTAGTGGTTCATCGAAGGCCCATCTGCTGTCCGCACACTCACGACGCATTGAACGACTGAGAAGCCGACCATCAGCAGTTAAACCCGAAATCGCTACGCCTACATGATCATCTATGTGAATGATCTTTTCCTGGTAGGAAGAGAGCTCGGAAGGTGCTCTCTTTAGGGCAACAATTATGGCGTAGTCATAATTCTTCAGAGCAACTGCTGCTGAACCTTGCTTTACAGCTTCCATAGCATATTCGATCTGATGAATTCGTCCTTGTGGACTCCAGATAGAAACATCATGGTCATACTGATTCCTAAACATTGCTTGGTAATGTTATAAGTCAAATTATCACCTGAATGTTCAATCTTCAATCTCTGTATACTTGAAGAGTGATGAAATATATTTTGCATATTTTATTTCCCGAGTGAAATATGAAATTTTAATGTTAAAATCTCATTTGTATAACTGAATGAAGTGTACTTTGCTCGTTTTGGAATGAACTGGGTCCAGAAGTTACTACGTCGTAACTCCTACCAAATGTAAGTCGTATCCTCTGTAAGAGAAGTCAAAAAATGCCTGTTCTTCTTGAGGCATATTTTCACAGAAGATTCTGATACAATATAAGCGAAATCGTTTCCGTCCCGCACTTCTGTAACCTGTTTATACTAGTAAATGCTGTTGCCTGCTGAGAGTACTTACTGTAGCCAGCCATTTCATCTGGTAACCATAATGAAACTATTCGTGTTAAGTAATAACTGCAAAAATGAACTTTAGCTTAATCTAGGAGATCACGCTATTTGTAACAGAATGGTTGCGAAGTAGATGTCATCTGTTATCGTGAATGTCGTTATTTTACTTCATTTCAGACTTGTTTTTTCTGCTGTAACCTTTAGGTCGTGTTTTATAAATCTGTCCCCGATCATTTTGGTTCCACTCATTTATGTTGCCATGTTGGTAGTTTCACTCTCAGGACTTAAAACATTGGAGGTTTGCTGTAAATTTTACAATAATCCTTGTTAGAACGATATAGTTTGTTTGATTACTCGTAATTTGTTAATGAACTATTGATCGGAAGTAATCTAACGAAATACTTAAGATCACAATTTATATAAAACTTCAACAAGACAGAAGCAATGACACGGATTTTTAGAACGCAGAATGAAATTTAAAAGTATTATTATATCAGATCCAAAAAGTACAAAATATTCAGGTGATCACTAGATGTATTTGCTATTACCCGCACCCGTCACATTGTGTCTGTCTAGGCGTTTACAATATGGTCTTGGTTTTCCAGTAATAATGACGGATTTTACAGATTGCTCAAAATTGCAATTTTAAGTTCATCTATCTAAAATTCAGAGTTACCTTAAAAACATTATTAACGAGAAATTCCCTAGAACTAAAACTAGAACTAACTGGATTACCTATAGAATTAGAATTAAAGAACTGTAATAGTTGAATCTGGAATCACCTGCTTCACTTGCAGAATATCCATTATTCTCCGTCTTTCACGCGTTAATAAAAGTTCCAAAATTTTTACAAGTATCCCTTGTAAGTGCTACCATTTCAAGAGACAATGGTTGAACCAACATATAATCGCCTTTGTTGGGTGACCTTTCGAAGTATGAGTAGAGCAATAGGAGATATGTATGGGGTATGCTTTCATTCATCCGGTGGTCAAATATTAAATATTAAGCATTGAATTCTAAGTCCCATCCCTGGAGCATGGCCGACAATAATCGATATCTTGGCTTGGTTAGGTAGTGAATACTCTTTTAACACCAAATGGTCAGTTAAACATGGATTTCACATCAAGCCAGTATTATGCAACCTTCTTACTTCCTATGCCACAGTTAAAGCCTCTCTTTTGGTTTCAAAATATTCTTCTTTACGCTCTCTTAAAGGCCTTGAAATTAAAATAACAGGTGTCTTATTTTCTTCCTAAATTGTGTGTGACCTCAGTGTAGATCCGTGTGTATTGAGAATAGGCTTCTTAGTTGATGGAAACGGTCTGAGAATAATAATAGTAATAATAATTTATTCTCGAATAACGAACCTGACAATCCTAAAAACTGTAAAGCGTTTCTCCGTATATCCGTGTCGTTGCTCCCATACAAACTTCTGTAAACCAAGTAAAAAACGGTAATAATATTTTTGTAAAAATAGGAATAAACTTGGAGCTATAGCTCCAGGCCAAGAAACACATTACGCGAAGGAAGAGAGAAAGTTATCAAAGAAATGAACAAAAATTGGTGGACCTGGAGAGGAAAGCCCAGAACGGAGTAGGTTGGTGAATAGTGGTGGGCGGCCTATGATCTTAATGCCTCTGAATAGATTTAAACCTTCATTATACAACTCAATTTTTTCGGCATGAACTATAATATGATCTGGACAGGATTCAACACCATCACGACGGGTAATAATCTGTCTGCAGCCATCTGTAGTATCGTAGGCGTTTTATCTAATCATGGTGGTAGGAATTTATGGATGAAAAGTCAAAATGGTGTTTGAATAGTAGTTAGTTCACCTAAGGTTTGACCTAGCGGAATTTACAAATATGCACCCTTTAGATCTACCTTCCAAACTGCTTTAACCATCGCAATTTATGCAGTGTATCTTCTGTTTCGTTTCCACAGTTCTGCTGCATTGGCCGAGCGTTGAGCGTCAAGCGGTAGTCGGCATGAATCCTATGTTTTTTTCCTTTTTCCTTAAGTAGTGTTACTATGGGAGTAGCCTAAATGGACGATTTTGTCGCCATTATTATTTTATTCTCGACCAGTTTATCTATCTCGTTCTTCATAGCTTCTCTTCAACTACAGGTTTCCCATTAAAGTGTACTAGTAGGATTTTCATAACTTTTACGGTCTTCGATTATTGTATGGCTGTATCTTTGATTGAGGTACCTATCGAAGAATCAGTGCATAGAGAAATACAAACATTCAGTAATCGAAGGGCCATATTAGCACAACCAACCTCCCCTTTCCTCAGTGAAATGCTAACCGTGCCAATAATGGGTGTTTGGTGGCTACTGATGACACTGAAGGACTTAAGTGTACTTCATTATAAGTAAACGGAAGATTCCTCCTAGAACTACCAGTATCAAAAATAAATGAGCGGAACTTGTATTCGTTAGTAATAAATTTTTGTTTCAGTTACTGCTATAAACAGTGGAAAGCTGTAATGATTTTTTTCATTTGTTTTAATCCACTGGTTTTGATTCATTGCGACTTAACTCTGTGGTAGTAAACGATTTGGAACTTTCGCAAACTGGTTGTGTTTGTCCAGCATTTCCGCATTAATGGTAACGAGCGTAACAAACTAAAAATGAACTTTGAAGATGCAGTTTATCACATGAAATGCAGAGTTTGCTATCCAAAGATGAATTTGAAGTACACTTTAAAATATTCACATCCAGGATGAAATAGGACCATTCTTAAAAGAAAAAATCTTTGGTCTCGATAGTCTAGTAGATAAGTTCACACACAGTACTTAAACGTCATGATATTTCGTAATATCACATGGATCAATATAAACGTAATGATAAATAAAATAGAAGTCTTTAGATATCTGGTAAGTGCAAGAAAGCACGTGTTTCAACTGCTTCTCTAGTGTACGAATTGATTCGTAGTTGTTCGCCGAAACCCCATTTACAAGTTGAAGTTCTAGAGTTACATCTGTGACTGTTTCGATTGCAGCTCAAACTAATTTTTTAAGCTGCGTCCTTTCATTTGTTTTCAGGGTTATCACTTGAAAGTGTTTAATCAATGATCTCTTAAAACTGTTAAACGGAAGTAGAATAGGTTTGTCGGGATATGCAACATTCTTTAACAAACTATAGCCTTTTCACTAACAGAGGTTGCTAAATAGGCTGAAACGCAGTCTTTCTAGACGTTATTCGCCCGACAACAAGACAGAAAAAACAGTATTCTGTAGCTACAGATGTATATACCCAAAATATTTCTGTTGTAGTGAGTTCCAATAATCGCACAGATTACCAGTAATTTGAACAGTCTTAGAAAAAAGACATTCTACTTAGAATTAGTCATGAATGAATAAGGTGTGCAATCCAAGACAGTCCTACTGTATGGAGTTGGAACTTAGAGAGATACCAAAGCCATCGTCAAAAAGATACAGGTATATATAAATAGTTGTATACACAACATATTAACGATCCGCTAACCAGGCATCTTCAGCAACAACCTATTACGATAGAGAAAACTCAGTTTACAGCCGAGGAAATTATTAAAAAGTGCTGGGGCTAATACGACACGTAGTGGAAAGTACCAAACTACATCACGAGGTAAACCCTCGCTTGGAATCCTCAAGACCGAAGGAAAAGAGGTAGACGAAGGAACACACTGTGTCGAGAATCGGAGACTTAAAAAGCAATATTAGCAAATGGAAGTAACTGGACAGGCAATAGGAGAAAAAATTCCATTGAAGAATGCTGGTTGGTGGCCTATGCTCCGCAAAGGTTAACAGGATTGGGCAAATAAGTGAGGAGTTCAGAATTATATTTACGAACTCTATGAAAATATCCTTGCGACGCATTAAACTGCCTCACTGATAGAGCTACAATGATATGCATAAGCTCCTAAACAACGTTCTACAGGCTGCACACATTAGAAAAGAGTTCAGATGACTTTTACCCTAGGGATCCCATAGATACTTGGGTCACTTTATGGTATGTGAATTAAGAAGTTAGAACTCTCAAATCTAACCTTTTGTAAATTCACAGGTGACTTAAAATATTTATTTTAACCTGAGAAACTGGGGAATAATTTGTATGTATGGGATTCCTTATTTTTTCCATCTGTGTCAGGACAACATAGAGTTTAATGGCCACAAGCAAACGGTATCCTCATCGTATAACAGACATTGGCATTGTCCTCAGATGTCCTTGATACCAGCTTATTTCAATTAACTTTGTAATGTTTGTTGACTGCATAGTGAGCTAAAATAAATATAAACCTTCGCGGGATTACTAAGATAAAGACCGATAATCCAGAAGTCAACGAAAAGACTATTTTGGATGAAGAAGATATTTATCGCTAGCCTCAAGATATCAAAATAGTATCGAGACTAGAGTACAGAAGCAGTTAACAACCACCAAGGAGGGCAGCGGAATGGGTATGACACGCTTGACGCGTGAGATAAACAAAAGGAGTACAGTATAACAATTATTGTCAGAATTAAGTACAATTGTGTTGTCTTCGTAATAGCATACCGCTACAACTGTATACGCATTTGACTGTTTTGCGATAATAAATAAGTTACAACACAAAGCAGTATTATATGAAGTTTATTTTAAGCAAATCTGATCTTATCCATAGCTATCAGTCAAATGGAACAGATGAATGAACATATGGA